AGTTGTATCGCGGACATATTCATGTTTGTGTACAACATGAAAATAAAGCACCACAGGCGTTAAGATTGCCGAAAAGAGTGATTTTGCAGAGCACCCCAAAGAGATGTTTCACGCTTGAGTGTCATTTGCATACTGAAAAGTGGCGGCCATCTTTCCTTTTATACACCCAGACCCGCGGTTTAAATTTTGTCTACCATTTCTATGATTTTATTTGGTAACTCAGATTATGTCTCCGGGGGATATCGGCAAGGACATTATGCTGTATAGAATATCCTGTCCTGTAAATGCATAAACGTGAGTTTAATCAGTTATCGTAACAACCCACACCTAATAAAATCAATAGAGACCGCTGCAAATAACAAAGCAGTACACTACTGCATACGCTGGCTCTATCACTTACACTTCCTCATGTTTCATAACGGTAACAATAACATCATACCTTCAGTTTAAGATAACTTCCCGTTCCCTTCTTTCCTCAGAACATATAAAAGACATCATTCAGTCCAAGTTGTTGTTGCTTCTTTAATGAATATACTCCCGACAGTATAATTCTGTTTTGAATGAGCATCTGTACTTAATTACTAAGTAGCAAACTACATTATTTTTCAATACTTGTTTTCATATTGTAATAATGAAATTTCTACATAATAGTTAAATAGTAATGTATTAAAAACTTGGAGGAGCTCCTTTAATTTATACGCAAAATTGCACAGGTGTGTGGTAATCACAGAGAACTAACGCCTGTCTAGAACTACGTCATCCATCCGTCTCTTACTAACTCCAGGATGGATCATAACAACCTGCATGTTATTTCCATCTGCTGTTTTTATTGAAAATATTAAAATAATTAACTTTATCGCTACATGCACAGTATGTCTGCCTACATGGTGACCTGTAAGTATTGTGTCTATCAAAGATGCATACTGTAGACGGAACACAAACGTGCCCTGTATATGAACACTTATATAGTCGGATGTTTTAGGTTGAAAAATTGCTACAAAATAAAAGCAGTTTAGAAGAAAAGTGTTTTAGTATAGTATACATAAGCACTAAAGAAACATGCATAGTGGGTGTTTTAGATTGATATGTTGCATATGTGTTTGTTTTGTCGAGTATTTCAAAGTAAAACAATTTCGAAGAAAAGTTTAGTTACTTTTATGAACTTGTGTACATGTCGTATATATTGACGAATTACATAGTAATCTTAGGTTAACACTGCTGGGACGACTGTCACACCTGTCTACTACCTACATATCATGTTTTCACAATCGTAGTTGATACTTAACACCTGACCATGGGGTTCATCTGCCTCACCCCATTGCCAGTCTTTTGTTCAATGTTATGTTTTAATTATCACTCTCATACTTATAGTAATCCTCTTTCTGCATTACACATTCAGTCCTTTGTTTCATTGCCATGCTTTGTGTTTAAGTACACATTCCATAATCTGCATTCTTGGTAACCATTCATATTTTGTATATTCCATAATCCTCTCATCCCCAACCAATCAATTCTCTGCATCTTGGTTATTTAACCACTAGACCAAGCATTCACTCATGTCACACGCAACGTAATATTACCGTAATTGGTATAGTACAGGTGTGATGGTTTAAATACCAAAATGGCAACAGTAACAGAAAGACTTCCCTGTCGGCGATGATATCATGCGAACACGGAGCCAACAGATGGGGTTTCAACTGGTACTGGTATTATTATACTCTGCAAACATCAAGTACAATAACGCGGTAAAACTCCACTACTCCAATAACTAGATACTAGTACTTAAACTCCAATACAATTCAACGAGATCTCCGATCTGAACTCAGTACTGAACAACTCCTCTATATATACCCACACTGTCTATAAATAGACCATTACATCAGCATACATAATGAGTCTGGAACTTTCTACCAATTTCTAGAATGTTCCATTACCTTCTATTCAGTCATATCACACTTGCTTCATTGCTTGCTGTCAAACGATTTTTTTCCTCACAAACTTTGAAAGTTGACCATCTTCATTCATCATGCCAGCACAGAAGAAACGTGGAAGCAAACTCCTGCACGGTTTTCTCAAGACCAACAACCACCCCCTACTTCGAAAAAACAGCGTGAAGCCACGAAGACTAGTAACCAACTCGCCGACAAAATCAACACCAAACCCCGCCACTATGACTAGTCCGCTACAAATCGTCTTGCTGTCACCAGCCTCCACAACGAGCCAACAATAAGCTGATAACTATGTCAGGGGTAAATTCTCTTCCTCTGTGTTCTCCACACTTGTCAGGGGGGAAACTCGTCTCGTCTCTCTATCTCGTCCCCTTGAGGTACGGGATCGGGAAAGTCACTTATACTTTACAGTCAAATAAGACACACACAACGAAATACGTTTCAGCTCTCGTCTTAGTCGTTCAATCGAGCACTCTATAAGACACTGCGCCCTGGGGAAAAAATCCCCAAGACTATCGCAAGGCTGACCCAAGACTCTCTTAGACTGCGTCAACACTCGCCCCAAGGCTCTCCAGGACTGGACTCTCTCAAGGCTCGCCCCAGGACTCTACTCTCGACTGCCCAGGACTGCGTCTATCGTGGTGTACTCGTCAAGACCAACTCAAAACTCTCTTTATTCATTTTCAAAACTCTAACCAATTACAAAACAGTAAAAAGACTCTAGGGCGTAACCTTCAATCATAAAGCCAATCACACTAAGTACTGAATACGTCATATCTTTTGATTAATCATTCACTACATTAATAACTATGGATACCAACTGTCAGAATCGCGACGGTTATCTGGTAATTAGTTCCAAATCACTGAGCCAAGTTCCGTCCAAAACTTCAAATAGGCCTAAACGATGACAGACATAACACAGCAATTCGCTAATAATCAGCTAATTAAGTCGGTCAACAGATACGCAAAAACAAATTCATGACACATCCCTTCACCCAAACTGAGATTGTGCCTCCTGGCATAACACGTTCACAAATCAAAGATACCGTCAGCCACTCATCGTCATAGGGTTAATTACAATACTAAGAAAAGATATAAATCAAAAGAGTAAAACACACTAATTAAGTACAATGATTATAAAAGTCTAAATACAATGGTTATAAAGTCTCAAATATCAACGGTTATGAATAAAAAAAACAAGGGAAAGGCTACCAATCGACTCACTTTTCTGAGGTAACCCTTCGCTGCACTGTCTCTGTTACTAAGGTTACAAACTCTATATCAAAAGGTAAAAAAAAACTAAGGCGTGGCGGTGTAACCATGCGATCAGCCAATCGCTGCAGTCGACAGCATGATCACGTGATTACCAGGGATGCATCTCTCGGTTAAAGCATTGCAAAGCGGTAACTAATAAACAATGAATAAACAAGCTATTAATCAAACTCCTGTCATATACGCTTATAAACTTCAACTGAACTCAAAAGTCGTTAATCTAAACAAAGTCATACGGCGTGGAAACAGAATGTAAAGACAAAGCTATCATAACACATTACTCCTCTGGCAATTAAAAAACGGGGAAAAGCAAAACAATAGAAACTACTGAGTTACATATAGTCCTGTCAATCATGAACAAAAGCTTGCGTTATCAAACAATACGTATATAAGCGCACCAAACTCTCATCCCAAAAGACATCAAAAAACGTTACAAAGGTGCTATCAACTCAAAAAGCGTCAGAAGTATTCCGGAAACAACACATAAACAAAAACAACTCTTAAAACGTTGATATCTCTGTACATCGACAAATCCCAAAACTCTTAAAAAAACTCATTGGGGCATTACTTTCCCCATCATATTCCGTACTCATAAACTCATAAAAACACCATAAAACTTCACAAAACTCAAAACACTGTGTTGCAAATACTTGTCCACTGAGGCGCGCTTAAATCGTTATAAAGGACCTCGAACGTCACTAAATATCAGTTCAAAACAAAAATCTGGGTGCTTACATACATACAATTCAACACCACAAAAAAACGGTAAAAACAATAGAAAAGCAAGAAATACATTACATTACTGAGCAATAGTGTTGTGATTGTGAAAAAGAGTTCAACGTCTTAAGTTATACAGTGTCAGTTACAGTGTCCAGCGAGCAGTTCTCTAAGTACTACACAGATAGCTAAAGTCAAAGTCTATAAGCGTCTCTTCTCTTGTCGTCGCGTTAGTCCGGGTCGTTCTTTCTCTTCTTCCTGTCTTTAATGTCGCTCAATTCTTAATTATACTGTCCTATACGATACTCGTCCTTCGGAAGGGGCTTCGAAGTCTTCATCTCTTCAGTGTCGTTCGGGTAAAGCCGTTAGTCGTCAAGCGCAGTTTCCGAGTCGTCGAGCTGTTAGTTCGGTTCACAAGAAAGACACACCTTCGCCATTTCACTATTCTTCACAGGATGTCAATGTGTGTTAAACACCTGCCCAGAGTTCTCACACCACTTATCAGGTGGTAATTCTTGTACTCTCGGGTTTCTCCACACTAGTCAGGGGGGAAACTCGTCTCGTCTCTCTATCTCGTCCCCTTGAGGTACGGAATCGGGAAAGTCACTTATACTTTACAGTCAAATAAGACACACACAACGAAATACGTTTCAGCTCTCGTCTTAGTCGGTCAATCGAGCACTCTATAAGACACA